CAACCTTCAGAACATGGCCAAAGAGCCCGAAAAACCCACAACAACCATTGTGAAACCACTCTTAAAATATTTCCCTTACTTTGAAAGTCCTATTAGGGTCACTATATGTTGGTTCTGATCTGATGGCACATATCTGACTAGCTGCCAGTCACATTTTCACTTTCTCTTCTCCCAGCAACTTTCACTCCTGCAAGTGTTCTTGCTTAATTTGCCTTGCTAACACTTGTTTGGTATCAAAAAGAGATAAACTTGAGCATTTCAGTCCACTGAACTCTATTCCTTTGCCCTACATATCTGTGTCAAAAAATTGGTGTTTGCTGCCACCTCAATAGTGTACCCTCATTTGCACTCTGCCCACTGAGTAAGTTTGACGTTTCTTGTAGGCACATACGATTTATAGGAAACAATAAAGACATTTGCCAATGTGCATCATTTACTTAGATATTCAGCTATCAGATTTATACCCTATATCCATCAAAGGGCCATTTTGCAGCATGAATAATAAACAATTGAAAAATAAACAGCAATTTTGAAAAATGATAAAAACAACTGCCACTGAATGTTAAACAAAATTGAAATTTTTTTTTAAAGTTTTAGAAGCAGCAGACCAGCATAAAAGGTCTGAGCAACTAAATTATTCTTGTGCTGGTGCACAAAACACATGAAATGTGGGTGTAGGCATAGGGTCCTAGTGAGAATATAACAAAGATGAAGGCCTAACACAGAGGTCCCCAATCCCCGCTCTGCAGTCCTGGGCCGGTCTGTGGTCTGAGCTGGACTGGGCCACAGAGACAGACCTCCCCCCCCATGCACTCACCCCCACACAGCTGATTTGTACATGTGCGTGCACTCCAGCATGCCTGTACGAGTGCCGCACCGCTGTTTACACATACGCACAAGCACACATGTGCCTGCACAAGCACCGTGCCTCTATTTGTGCGTGCGTTCATTTGCACATGTGCATGAGCATGGGGGTGCCCCACCTACTGTTTACACATGCGCACAAGCGCACATGTGCCTGCACAAGCACCGCACCTCTATTTGTGCGTGTGCATGAGCGTGGGGGTGCCCCACCTTCCCCAGGCAGTCCACAAGGTGAAAAAAGTTGGGGACGCCTGGCCTAACACCAATGGCAGAATAGATCATTGAGTCAACTGCAGAATGGCTGATCAACACTGAGACTCATTAATTCAATGGGGAGTTGCTGGGGCTCAGTCTAGACTGAGACCCGAGCATTACTGCTAAGAAGGTTCAGAATTTAGGAACTGTGACCTTTTTTGACAATGAGAAAGAACACGCCCCCTCTCTTAGGCTGCATGGTCAGTGGCCATATAGCTTAGGAGATTCTCAAAGCTACAGTCCAAAATAGTAACTTTTCCAGGCTGTAAGGTCCAGTGTCTAATAACTACCCTCCTCAGCTCTGACAGCAACAAAAACTGTAGAAGGGTTCCCTTTAAGACTTTACATCATGGCAACACTTGATGTTTCTTAGGGATTAATTGGATTTTATTAATATTTTCTTCTTTGCCATCAAGTACCATGATGACTCTTTTCAGGGTTTTTAAGGTAGAGAGTACTCAGACATAGTTTATCATTCCTTTCTTTTGGGGGCACCCTGGGCCTATGTCGCTCACCCAAGGCCACACAGGCTGGCTCTATTTGTAGGAGGCACAATGGAGAAATAAACTCCCAACCTCTGGATCTTCATCCACATGCCTGACTCACTGGGTTATCCAGCCAGCATTAATACAATACAGAAATAGTAATATTATTGCGTAAATATATTGATATTAATATCATATGATGTTGCAATATTAATCTACGTATGCAAAAATTTATATTAGGAGTGTTTTCATAATGGCCGGAAAATCTCATACAGTGCCTTCCAAGAGCAGAAGTAATTTTGTGTGATGGATTTGACTGCTTATTCGGCTTGATTAGCAAATACTTGAATTGCCAGTCAAGATTAAGGCAGGCAAGCAGTAACTTACAGGCTGTCATACTCCAATGGAAAAAACTTTACAAAATAGCTAGCATATTTGCAGAGATCAAGGCTGCTTTCTGAACAATGTGTAAACAGAGGACAGAAAAAATTGAGTGAAGCTTGAAATCCTATAGACACCTATCAATAGATAAGCACAACTGGAAAGAATGGGCCTTACTTCAGAGTAGACATGTTAATTGTTCACCCTGAAGGGAAAAAAAAGTGAGGGTAGAGTGTTCCTGAATTTCATTCAATTAGAGCTTGAAAAATCTTATTTTGCACTTCAGCTTCCACAATTCCTCTGCCACCATGATCGTGGGGATTCTTGGGAAGCTGTAGTCCAAAACAGTAGCCTTTCCATGCTGCACTTGTAAACATGGGGAGAAGGAAGGACTGTAGTTCAGTGATAGACTTGGAGAAGACCCTGAGAAGTGCGAAGGATGTTGCCAGTCAGACTAGACAACACTGAGCTAGATGGACAAAGACCTTGATGTGTGGTCTACAGCAGTGGTTCTTAACCTTGGCTAGATGGACAAAGACCTTGATAGTGTGGTCTACAGTAGCTTCCAGAGGGACACAAGGCCTAAAACACAATTTGCATGGGACAGTGAGAGAATGGGGTTCATTGGCAGGAGACTATGCTTCAGTCCTAAACTCATAGCAGCAAAGATGACTGTCCAGGGTGATTATACAGCAGGCCAACATCATGGCTATTATAGAGTTTGAGCAGGGCTTCCAGAGGTACATAAGGTCTAAACACAATTTGCATGGGACAGTGTGAGAGAATGGGGTTCATTGGCAGGAGACTATGCTTCAGTCCTAAACTCATAGCAGCAAAGATGACTGTCCAGTGTGATTATACAGCAGGCCAACATCATGGCTATTATAGAGTTTGAGCAGGTTGATATACTCAGCTCTGTGCATATATATATATTATGAAAGATGATCAGGATGGCCACTTAGTGCCTCTTTATAAACTGAAGGTTGAATCTCCTTGGGAATATTCTGTACTGGGACAAGGAGAAACCATCAGAAATCTGAGAAAGGTTAATGCAGAATATCCCCCTCCCCTGGCAGTTCAGGCTATTTAGCTCATCTGTTGCAGGTGTTTTATCTTACCCTTTCTGCCATGACCTGAAGATGGTTTACAAAAAAGAATTTTAAAAACAGTAGAATGTAATTGCCAAAACA